GGTATTTACACCCAACCCCACAATTGCTTTGGGGTGGTTAATATTTTGCTTCGACTGTAGAGCGGGACGAATTTGTTGTAATTACCATTCTAATATATTCTTCCTCAGCTTAAGATTCAATGTCAAGTTCAAGCGATATCGTTTTATTTTTTTTTATTAACCACGCACTGTTTTAACAAAGAGAGGGCGGAAAAGGGCTTTCTTCATTTCCAAATGAAATTTCAGATAACTTTAACCAGTGATTTCTCAGGAAGAATGTAGCGTATCTGTTTTTAGTCTGAAGCGTAACATATTCAGTGGCTCTTCAATGTACACATGAAGTGTAAAATATTTATTACCACGTACTAAAAGTATTGTTTTCTTAGCTATCTGGTTCTCCACTAAAGTGTGGTTAGTATTGTGCACTGTCATAAAAACCTAATAGAATTTGAAATTTGTGTTTGTTAAGTTTGATATCAATTTAAGTTTAAACTAAGTCTTCAGTTTCTAAAGGAACCTGACCTGGCCTGAGAGCGGAGTGCTGGTTGCCGGTTTGAAACTTCAATTAGGTTAATGTTCATATACTGAAACCAGCTCCAAATAAACTTATTTGTGCTGTAGGTTGCTGTAACAAGTATGCCGCATAAATATTCAACACCTGTGGCAGCCAAATCCTGCTGCCGGCAGAACCTGCACAAAAATACATATCTGACATTTAAATGGCCAAGGTGATTTTAATGTTTTTTTACATTCACTGAAAACACCAATATACTGTCGCGTTTTCATGAAAAAAAGAAGGCTAAAATAAATTTGCATCGTCGTTGGGTCTCACTTGTGTTGGTGGATTTAGCACATATCTAGGAAACATAGAGCTCAATGTTTAGATTCCTTATTGTTATAAAATGACAAAAAAATCTCTCTGCCTCTCAGGTAGTAGTATTCGTTGCAGATTTATGTTTACTTTGAGGGAAGATCAGAAACACTTTCCTCGGCAGACGGAAGCACGGATTCTCATTAACGTTCTTTTGAGTTCAACAGTGCTTCCAACACATCATTAAGAAATCAGATGTATAGCCAGGAAACGGTGCCAGTGATTAGTTGCATACTTGTACTCCTCTTTTACTTGCGGCACAGCGTTTTGAAAGTTTAAAACCTGGCAGTCATAAAACGGTCAAGAACTACCTTTTTAGCATCTTGTTCAAGTGGAATCCTGGGAGATGTCCTTTAAATTTATGTAAGTGCTTATGAAAAAAAATTTACAACGTTTTTACGCTGAATTTTTGAGAATCTGTGTACCGGTTGCGTGTCCTTTTCTGGAGTATAATGCTACAAAATTCTCGATATTAAAGTTACAGGACTAGGGAATATTCTGGCCTGGTGTGCGAATATATTTAAAGAACTTTTAGAATTTCTCATTGGTCATTCGGCAGTTTATGTTGACTTAAAACTTTTCCTTAATTTTTTGCTTTCCATCTTTCAACTAGCATGAACGCTAAAATATAGCAAACACCTGTTTGCAGTGTTTAATTCAGGTGTTAAAAGGTAATTCTTCATACATTTATTGACGAAGTAGCATTGACCAGGTAGAATGTTGTTAACCAACTTCAAAACGGATAGCAGGATATTCATATGCAAGAAACAAATACATGTAACGAAAAACGGAAAAAAATTGAGTTACATCAAATAATTTACATTCAGGCAGTTCCAAAAGGTAACCTACAACCGCAATTTTCTTCGCTTAATGGCAAATGAAACGCTTATAATCCTATCACAGCCTCCAAAATTACCGGTGCGGGAAGCTTTTTCAGCCGTTACAGTCGTCGGAGAAGAGCTGTAGCTGAAGAAACTGATTTATTGCTTTTTTTTTTTCAATACCACGATGAGGTGTGTCGTACGAAATCCGGATTCCTGTACTAAGCGCACAATGCTTGCTGGACGGACAGCGTAAGATAAGATAGTGCTGCTACCTCTAGACAACGTGAATCTAATCAGCCATCAACATGTGACTACGTGTCCACCTGAGTACGTGATATGTTACTCCTTAATTTACTTTCAGAAAGTTGATAAGGAATAAATTTGGTATGTGGGATACGACTGCTAGCCTAGACCTTTAACGTAGATCAAGTAACGTATGCGTAATATACGCAAATAATTTAATCACATACACTGCAAAAAAAGTGGACAGAAAGCATTTGCAATGAAGCGAAAAATCACTTCGAGCAAAGGCTCAAATAGTAGAACAAAAAGAAAGGATCTTCAGATGAATCAGGCGCGATTTTTCCCATGCATCATCGTACCACAGAAACCCCTCTTAGGTTCAGGCATTCCCAAGTTCAGTTTCAAAGACGGCCAAAAATAAATCCACTGTTGAAGAGGATTTGTGTGGAACAGCAGTGCTCCATCACTTGCCTCTTTCAGCGGTCATTTCCATGGTGCTTACTTTGCTCGCTTTCCAACGCAACAAACATACACATGCCTGGCCATGAAGTCAGCGCGATTTGTTCCTTTTGTCGCATTTTCCACTATGTGAATATACGGCTGCCTTGCTTCCTTCGGTGGTAACCGTGCGCGACCACCTGGGCACTTAGATCTTTCCTTCGTTTTCACAAAAAGTTAGCGCGAAGTGTAGAGTTTGTGTAAATTGTGTTCAGATACAATTGCAAGATACCAGGACATTGATCCTTTGTTTGGCACGTGGGGAACAGCTTTTTGAATTGGCTGCCACAAAACGCGTCACCCGTCGCATGAGGTATGAGACGTGAGACGCGGGATTCGAACGCTGTATTCTTAAGCCTTGGCTTGAGAACGAATGGCCGGGACAGGGGTTTGTAGCCCGGGAAAAAAAAAATCAAGAGGGAAGCTGTGGTGTAACACGACGTGGCACAACTGTGCGCTGCCTACTGCCTTTCTATCCCGGCCCACTGGTCATGGCGGGCTATAGCTTTAGGCTAATCTCAAACATTTGGAGTGTCTTCTGAGCAGTCTAAGCATTTACAATGCAACATAAGTATGCCTGTTCTTAACTCATACGCCTGTACAGTATCTGGAACAGCAAAATATTCTGCCATATGTGACACTTGCTTTCGAATTTCGGGCATTCGTTTCTTATGAATGGTACTGACGGCAGCAGCGGATACAAATAACGCATTTTTAAGGGAATATTCACGGAAGGGATGTGCATGACGTCAGTAATCAGCGGAACCAGTGGGAGTCCCTGCCGGACTCAAGTACTCACACGAAGGGGGTGATCCGAGAGGGATATCAGTGTTTTCAGACACGTTTAGCAGTCGCAATCTCGACAACAGGGTTCGGTGTCCGATGACAAGTGTAGAGAAATGAGGACGTACTACAAACTTCGATACGCAATATGGTAGAAGCACAGTTGGACGCAGAAAACGGCGAGTGGCTTCCTACTAAAAGAAAGATGTTTCTTAAATGGGTGGATGCAACTAAAAGGACGTGGAAACAAAAACCAATTGTATGAGGAGCGGCTTGGGGGCGGCATTGATGAATATCAAAGTTGCGGGCCTCGGAGTACATGAGGAACATCTCAAGCTATAACAATTTAGGTCAGGGGTAGGCAACAGTGGCCTGCGAGGGAATAAAATACGGCCCCTGACACGCTACCGGAAGCCCCCTCCCCCCCCCCCCTCAAGCACACAGACACGTACGGTCAAGGACTAATGGCGCAAGAACTAAGGTTGGTACCTTGTGTAATTGAGCGTACTATTTTTGAAACAGCACACCAGAATGTTAATTTTCTATGAACTTTCCCTGTACGTATTACCTACCCGCAATTGTGGTACACCAATGTGATGCATTGGGAAGCCTGAACTGTTTAAACTGTACAAAATAACAGTTTTATACCATTTTCAATTTCAATCGTTTTTGTCACACACAGAAGCATTATATCGAGATTCTAACTAAGCGGTGGTTCACAATTTTAGCATCAACCTTATAGGCCTTCCTCACAGAGAGCAATTGGACTAACGGCGTTTAGATAGCCTGGGTCTTTAGATATTGGAGTGAAAATGATCGAGGTGGAAGCTGGGCCCCATGAGCCTGGCCACGTAGAGTGTGCAATAAAGAGAATAGCGGCGCACTTCGCGTCATATCGCTTAAGTTCGAAGCGGATACCCCCCCCCCCCCCCCTTCCCCTCACTTTTCTGGGTGGGGGGTTTGTTGTGTTGGGCGGTCTAAGTGGCGTAAGAAACAAGCCGCTGGGTGAGCTCCTCCTGTTCTCGCATACTTTAGGAGTTCTTTTGAACCGCTCCTACGCGTGGGACGAGAAGCCGACGTGGAGCGAACGTTGTTGCGGCCACCTGAAACACAATCTAAAAATCGACTTCGCCGACGGTGGAACGTTTAGAATTATTTTGACTGGTCATGTGTATTCACGGGACAGCTTGGTTCGGACCGCAGATATTTATCAGACAACAATGACGAAGCTCTCAGACCGCTGAGAAATTTGTGAAGGGCGCAGTCTCTCAGAATATGAATAACCCATTCGGCCAGACAGTTTCGGTAGTGCTGAGAAGTTTAATTTGGCAAGGGGCGCTTTATTTGTAGGAACAGTGTATTGCGAAGGATATTTTATTTTCTCACCCCAAGCGTTGTGATCTTTGCCAAAGTAAATCGCATACAGCCGCATGAAAACTGCGCAATCAGTCGGGATTTCAAATTGTTGGAGACTGCAGATCTACAAATTTTAGATAACCTGGTGGGTATGAGATGACTTTCTTTCAGAAGGGCGTGAACGTTAGAAACATCAATTTTCGTGATAGCTAGAATTGTTCAGCTTCTATGCCACATTTCTCAGCAACTGTTTCTTCTTTTGACCACGGCAGCTCAGTGACGCTATAAAACGCGTACACACTTGAACACCACGCCCCAACTGAGACGGACACCTTACGCTAGAGTGCTTCTCACGTCAAAGAGCATGTGGAGTTCTAATCCGTTTCACCAGATAAATAAACAAATACGGTTATTTAAACATTTTATTTGTGTGTGCGCTGTTACAGAGTCATTATCTGGGCGATTGCTGCATGTTCACTCATCAATATCGAAGACACCAGTGCGGAGCAGCGCGTTGGTATCGATGAACAAGACGGGAGGCACGCCAGGCCAGGCAAGTTTGTGGAGAAATCAGGATGATGCTCGGTTAATGTGCATAGACCTTCTACACTTGGGCGTCGTGACCTTGAATCGCAGATCTTCCGGTTCGAGGTAAAACGTCGGTTTCCATACGCCACGCCACTGGAAAGTGATGATGTTACTTATTGCTTTTGCTTTTTCTCTATTTATTTATTTAATTTAGGGTCTAATGCTGTGCCTATTTGTTCTCCCCCATACCGAATATGTAAACTGGTTATCAGACAGCAAAGGGAAATAAAACAAGAAAAGAGCTTTCCAGAGAAACGCCTTACTTGGCCGAACTTTTTCTCTTCTAAGGGCTTATATTTTCACCAACGCAATAGTTATGCCAAAGTACTTTTGTTTAGCTCTGCAATGACCTTTTTGTGGGTCGTCAAATAATTGCCCAAGTGCCAGATATGCGAAAAAGAATCAGGCGGACAACCAACGGTGAGCAAAGATTCTGGCATTTGGTCGGCGATTTAGGTCCAAAGTTGCCGGGTGAAAAACGAACAAAAATAAAGACTAATTCTTGCGTTTCTTTTGAAGCTCAGGCCCAAAAGAGGCAGGTGACCGCCGAGAGAGGAGGACGTGAAGCCTAACTCTGGCTCCTGTTTAGAAAGTTTCAGCAAGAATATACATTCTGGATAAATAATGTCAAGTTTCAATTTAACTTGGCTTTTGCGGCTTTTATACTTTGAAATTGTACGACAAATGACAAAATAATTGGCCCAAAAAATGTGCTACTTGGGAAAGGTCAAAATGTTACACTGCGCAGGACTCACGCCAATACATTTTAGGTAATTGTCTTATGAGAGGTTTATTCGTTGGAATGTGCACCACTATGCTGTGACGGATATCAAACGTTTACTGTACTTGATTGTGAATAACTAGTGTAGTAAAAAAGTTTGTTATAAATTTTATTTTCGTTACATTCTTCTTGAAATAACTGGTCCAAAACTTTAATACCATATTTAAATTTTGTTTACAAATTTCTGAGAAACCTAGAGAAAGGTCTGCATCTAGCGACCACCTGTTTTGCAATGTGAGTTTTTTTTTTTTTGGAAAGTAAAACTTGAAATAGGTTAGCTTTCCGTAAGCCAAACATGTATTAATTGCTTTGTGAGGAGTGCTTGGTTTACGATGGTTGACTCAACACTTTAGAGCGAGTTCCAATGTTCATGGCGCTAAAATGTGTCACGCACAGCAAGGCGGAATGGAATGCTACACCCCATCAATTCGATTTTCCTCTTCTACGGCAGCATAAAGGCTGTATAGGGCGGCTCTGTAGTTACGTCAACGTGCGGACATTATTGCCGTCGACCGTGCACCACCTGGTGCTGACAGCAAATATGTAGAGTTACTTTTTGAGCATATGTTTTATACGGACGGTGGTAAGAAATTTGTAGACGATGTTTAGAAACCCGAATTGGTCCCTCAAGTTTAGATTACATGATATTTACTCCAGGATAACGAGTCTGTCAATCAAAAGGGTTCTTATAATAGGTACTTTTTGAAGACATCACTGCGGACCCCACTGAGATACCATAAAAGACCTAAAATTATCCCGTTAGTACTTGAAAAAAAAAAGACGATTGCAACTACCTGTATTGCCGAATTAGAGCGTAGCTGTTGAGGGGAAGGAGAGGAGGGTACGGAGCGAACGGTATGCCCTCCTCCTCCTCATCCGTACCCTCTCCTTCTCCCTCCTCATATACTCCTACCGTGCTCCTCGCCTACTCCCCGTCTTCCTCCTCCTTCTCTGTCCTCCTCCCCTCCTGCTCCTCCCTTCCTGCTCCTCCCTCTTTCTCCTCCCTCCTCCTCCTCCCTACTGATCCGCCTCCCTCCTCCTATCCATCCTCCGCCTCCTCCCTCCTGCTCCCTCCTCCCCATCTCCCCCCGTCTCCTCCCCCTCACCCTCCCCTCCTACCTGGTCCTGCCTCCCGCGCGGTGCATTATGGGAAATGTCCCATAAGGCAACGAGCGCGTCAACACGGTGCATTATGGGATGTTTCTCATAATGCACCGCGCGGTTTCGCCGACGGCGACGTCGACGCCGACGTCGCTCAAGGCGGAAACAGGCGCCTAAGAGCTGCGCTGTAAAATAACCCATTCATCGTGTGGAGGTCGCTCTTAAACCTCCTTCGTTTAGGGCAGCTGCAAAGGCGTACTCAGGGGCTGATAAGACATTCTCTTATCAGCCCCTAGGGGGTTCTCTTTACCACATCTAACGAATCGTTTGGAGGGATCTTGAGTCAAATGCCGATAGACTCGAACTTGGAGAATGAGACACGTATAGAAGACTGAATGAAGCATGGGCACCTCGGAAAATCTCCGAATGACGCGCGGCGCTCTCATTTTCGGTTCCATTGGCGTGAGAGTGCGAAAGGTTCCACTGAAAAGTCCTTCAATCCTACCTTTTAAACGCTTTCTAAATATAAAATACCGTATCAAACACTCTTATTTTCATGCTGGGTAGTTTATAATGGAGGCGTGACTTGATTTAATCTAGAGTGTTTGTTTAGCGATATGTAAAGTCGTAAGTTGAGCGTTCGTCAGCCTGGTTCGAGGCAAATCCCTCCCAGCAAAAACAAAAACAGCCTTAAAAAAAAAAAAAAAAAAAAAAAAAACAAGACAGCTTGTTTTTTGTTTCGTGCACAGGAGTTTTAGCGACACGAATTAAACTCGAAGCTGGCAATCTTTCAAGCGGCCTTAAAGGGCAGCCTGCATGTTCCCAAAAATGCAGCTCACAATACGCTGATTGGCAATGGGAGCAGTCAATAACATCTATTATGTACACTGGTCCCCACTTGGGTGAAGGATGGTCAGCTATAATTTTTTTTTTCAATGTATGACCACAAGGTGGCATTTGTTGGGCTTATATGCGAAAATTATTTCGTTGAGTGTGACTTAGACTTTTTATGTGGAATCGACTACGGGTTTTGCAGGGTAAGAACGCCATAATCATTCATATTAGTGACGTGCTACTAGGCACAAAGCTGTCACATTTTGACAGTGGGGGACAATATCTGGGCAGCTCAAAAACGCTACTTATAACATAAGTGAGCTCAAAGCACCCTTGTCTAGCCAATATCATACCCGGTTTCGTGAAATAAACGTAACATTAAGCTTGTCTTATGCACCATGTAAGTGGGGCCCAGATATATAAAACAAGGCAGTCTAAAATCAGGTCCTCGTTTTATTTATTAAACGAGATTTCTGTTGTGTTTCTTGTTACTTTCAGGTCTCAACTATAGGATTGAGAGCTTATCAGACGCCGGACATTGCATTCACGTTCACATCTCTTGATCCCTGATTTTTTTTTTCAGTGTTGTTATCCCACTAATGTTGCAATCTAATTGGCTGTTGCGTAATAAGATGCACGAAAGATGGCACACACTGCGTTTCTGGGTCTGTCGATGGCTATAGAATGATCATATAATTGCAGGAGACACTGCACAGTGCCAAGTGGGGAAGCTTTCGGAGCGCTTCGACTGTTATCCAGAACCCGGATCCAACGAAGCTGGCTGTCTTTCTCGCGGGTGCTGCTGGGGAAGACTAGACGAAATTCCGGGTGAAAGGAAGTTCGATATCCCGTACTGCTACTTCCCGATAAATTACGCTGGCTACTACGTCGAGAATGCGGAGATTTCCGACGACAGGATCGATGTTATGCTCGTGCGTCGGACGCCATCGGGAATCGACGTGGACGTGCCGTTTGTGCACGCAGAGATTCTCTTCTACGACCAGGACACACTCAGAATCAGGGTAAGCTCCGAATATTCACTCGTTCCTACTAAAACGTTTTACACCATTAGGGGTCTAAATTAACTTCTTGAAAGGTTATGTCCCTAAGAGTGTTACACCAATACCTTAGACTGCAGGTGAACACCCTAAAATAGGATGCTGGCGATTTACCAGCGTCCAACGATGTCTTTCAGAAGATACCAGTTTACAAGCAACTACAACTATATTCAGTTCTCACATAAACAAAAAATTCCAGTACACAAGCAGTAAATCACGACTGGAAATGTGCGCCAAAGGAACAGGGACAAGTGAAGAAGTGAACATCAACAGGGCATTTACTTTGGTTCGCGAGTGGCCCCCGTCTTGTGTGATTTTAGTTTTTAGCGCACTGTGAGCGCCTTTTGTTTTCGTACACTTCTTCACCTGTCCCCGCTCCTTTGGCGCTTATTTCCAGTCATGAACCAAAAAGCCCAGCTAACATTTTGTTTCACTAAATAACGCACGAGAGACAAATAAAGACCGTGTTGGCTGCTCCCCCACCTCATATACTCGACAATTCAGAGACCGTCATCTGAACAAAACCTTTGCAATTACGAAGGTTACAAACATATTACCTTTTTCCTCCGTATTTCTCGTAATGAATACTATATGTAAAGTCAAGGAATGTATCTCCGAGAGGAAAACATTCATGCACGCAAGAGGTATTTTTAATAACCCTTAAAATACCCTCCCCTGAAGATGATTTTGAATGGCGAACACCAATAAAAAAGGGTGTTCACCTCATGTCACCGTAGCCCCTCGTTCCAAACCCCTTTAACATCCTTCGAGGATAAATGGTGCTTCAAGGCAAGAGTACTCTATTTTACGGCTAAGACATGTATTACTTCAATTAAGGGTGCTAAACATATGTAGTTGTGGATGTAGGTCTCTGAAAGAAATGTTTTACATTCTTATGAATACAAACTTTTTCTTTGTCGGTTAAACACTATTTTTCGCATTCGCAGTTCACATTTTTTTTTGGAAATTTATTTCTTAATGTTAAGAAACCGCAGATGTATTGCCTAGTGGGACTTAGAATTTTGAAGACGACAAAAATGTAACAGACTTGCAAAAAAAGTATTTTCTGAACCACAGTTTGCGTGTTTTTTGTTTTTGTTTCAAGGCATAAATTGAGTGTATAGTGAATATGGCATATACATTTTGAATACATGATACTGGGGAAATATGATTTGAAATATATCAGAATAAAATGCAATAGACTACTTTCATAAAACCCTGCACGCAATATTGCGGGAGTTGCACTCTGGGAACTAGATGACCAGGGAAGAGAGTAGCATGGTTTCGGTTTCGACCGACACGTCGGCAAGAGATCATACAAAGACCTTGATCTATTCACAACCGTTATCTTGTGTTTTCTGGTCCCGGACGCATCTTTTTGTTTCTGAAGAGATTTAGCACAAGGAGATTTAGCACAAGCTCGAACCACACGAAAAGTTTGTCTTCACACATGTTTGTTGCATTTCAGTACTCGAGCCCTTCTGTTAGCTTTTCAAGGTATGTGGACGAGCTTGTGCTGGAAATCTCGACGCTGCGAAGCTCGGGGATCTTGCTTGTGTACGAGGACAGGCTGAGTACGCGTACACCGAGCTCGCACATTTACATTACACTCTAAGAAATGCCTGCGCGTCTACTTACCCGCCAAACACTCAAAGAGTCAATCTCTGCGGTCTACTAAATCAGCCTAGCGAATGATGAGGCGGAACATCCGTTTAGAAATAAAAATGAAGTCTGCGCTGTGGCATTACGCAATATAAAGTGACATGGTTGCATTGCGCAATGCCAGGGCTTGGACTTAATTTGAGGTCTAAACAGATGTATCGCCTCATTATTCGCTGAGCTGATTTCGTGGGTTATAGAGATTGGCTATTTGAGCGTCTTGCGGGTAAGTAGACGCGCAGGAATTTTTTAGAGTGAAGTGTTGCTGGTCAGAAAGTTTGTTACTTGTTTTCTGCGTCCATTGACGAAGACTACGTTTTTGCAATTAGTGTTTTTTTTTATACGCCTGAGTACTCGAGGTAAAACTCGGAGACGCCATTGAAAAGCTAAAATCGAACCCACTTCTTATCTCCGATCTGTACTGACCCGCAGCACTGCAAGGAATGAACTCCAGGCCTGCTTGCATTCTACTACTTGAATTTCGCGAATGCACATAAAGTTATCTTGCAGTCACATAGGTACATCCGCATATTGAAACCCGTTTTTAAGAAGACAGTGGTCGAGCACTTGCTTGAATAATGTAGCGCCGTTCGCCGGACGGCACGTAGACGGGCGTTAAACTATGCTGTGCGCCAAACGAACTAAGGGATTCAAAGCGCGCTTGAATGTTGCTAATTGCTGTAAGGTTTGTTATGTGGTTCCTTTCTTTCTGATTGAGTATGCCGAAATGATTTGAGACATACTGTTCCGATTCAGATCTTGGGCGTCAGTAAAAGCTCGCACAAAAAGGCTTAGCGATGAGTGGGGAACGCTTGTTGGGTCTCCGTCGTAGCTAGCCAATTTCAACGTTTGCGAAAGCGTAATTTCTAATTGGTATACAATTTCAGTAGGAAATATATGATGGTACCAGGAAGACTTGATAGCAATTTTTGTGCAGTAGAGAGGTCGAATTTATTTCGCTTCCTTAAAACTTCGAGCGTCAACGCTGGGCTCAACGTTGAGACTCCTGTGAGGATATGGTTTGTTTTTCACCCAGTGAAGTAGCAAAACACGGACGTTGGCAAACAAAATATGTGTAGGGCTTAAAGCAACCGAATATGAATTGTTGTTCCAACGTATTAAACAGGATTATTGTAATTTATCTCAAAGCTACAATCGGTGGGTGAGGGGAGGTAAGACACGTCTTCTGCGTTTGCATACGCACACACAATATCCGGCATGTCGGGAAGCATGAAAATTACCCCGGTCTTCCATTTACATATCGTTCGAGAATGAGAGTAATATACATTCGTGGGAAGCCAGAGAATCAAAAACGGAAGCAACGCATTCGGTTACGGCGTGATAGCGCGAACTGAAGTTGCTCAATCAAAACCGAAACTGAGTGGCCAACTAGTTCCCAGGGTGCACAGCGTGTCATTTCGCCGCGATGGGGAACTTCGAATTTGGGAAGAATTCTTTTTGCAAAACGCTCACATATAAAAAGAGGAAACTTCATTAATGTTAACATGCATTCGAGGTATTGTCCTGGATTGATTGAAATCAGCACAGTCGAGAATCTATTCTTTGAGTGGAAGGTGTAAATTTATACAAAGGTTGCTTTAATCATGTGATAAGTTAATCCACTTGGTACCTAAGCAACATATTAAAATAGCGCATAAACAAAGAGGTGAGCGGTAATACTCGCAGAATAAATTCTACTCCTCTTGTACTTCGAATGAAACAAATTAAAAAATTGTGCAAGTGTAACACTTGGGTTTCATGCAGACTTGTACACGTTACTGAAAAAAAGTAACTGATTACAATTACAATTACTACAATCAAAAAAGTAACCGATTACCGTTACTGATTACTGCCTCCCAGAAGTAATTGAACAATTACTGCAAAGTAATTGATTACTTTTCAAGTTACTTTCACGTTACTTTTTATTGCGATGACAGAAATACACAAATACACAGTAAAATATTGCGTACACAATTTTGTTTGGTTATTGTTCCCTTTTTTGTTTTCAAACCCGGACCTTGTCGTGTAGCTGACGCGTCGACCTAAGGAACAAAGCCCACTAAAAAGTCAATAGCGAGTTCCCGCTTCCCGTCGACTTTATCAGCAATCTGCAACAAGATCCGGAACTCCCCAGCCAAGGCTGGTGGCGCGCTTGTAGAAGAGCGTGGCGTAAAAGAAAAAAGGATTTGCCGACTAATCCTAGTTTTATTTTTTTAGATGTTAAAAAAATGTCAATCATTTTTGCTCCATGGCTGAGTGACTATGCTGGTTTTTGTGAGAAAAAAAATTGTGGGATGAAAAATGTAATTGGTAATTGTGTAATTGATGTTGTAATTGATTACAGAAAAAAAGTAATTGAATTACTCCAAGCGTTACAGCTTGACAAATGTAATTGAAGCGTTACAAAATTACACTTAACTGTAATTGATTACAAGTAATCAATTACTTGTAACGCGTTACGTACAAGTCTGGTTTCATGTGGCAGTACAATATACTAAGTTGCTCTAAAGCAAAATAAATTGTAGTGGCAATTCTAGATATAAAGACAAGCGAAAGAAATATTTTTGTTCTTGCAGCTTGCCCACAACTCACATCAATATCGCTGAATGAATGATAATACTCCGTGATAGTGTGTCAGCCATATTGATGTTCAATATATATTTAAATAGTCAGGCATGCCGCAGAACGGAATTCTAGGACGCGCAGGTGTTTATTCGCGGCAATAGTTTAATACCTTTGTATTAGTAAAAGTTGTTTTTTTAAGCTATCGTTGTAATTAAAATATTTGCAAGCTGAGATTGTAATAAATAATTTCTAATTGTCATATTTCTCTTTTTCTAACCGAAGATGACCCAATCGTTAGCGCGTAAACACTGTGGGGTTGAACGATGTGTAGGAAGGTCTCTGATATAGAGACGGTGTCCTAAAATTGGGCCTATACACGACGTTTCAGATTAAGTAAAGCACAACCGATGGGGCCATTCTGAACTCGTCAAATGCGCAAGGTCACAGTATATGTATCCATCTCGTCCAGATGATATAATCATCATAAATATGTTCAGCGCAATAAATGCGTGGCCTTCCTCTCTCTGTTCGTGTGTGTGTGCGTGCACGTATGAATGCATAGAACAGAAATATGATGAATTGTGCTCGGTTTGTTTAAACGGCATTGACTCAAACGAATATATAGACTTGAAATAAGGGTCTTCAGCTTGCCAAGAGAAAGATACGCATAAATGTGTATTAAGCAATTTCAGGAAATTCAACGAAGTACAATCAGTCACATTTGAAGAAATAAATTGCTGCATAAAGATTACCAAACAGCGCCTACGTCCTTGGGTCATCAAGGATTGGTGCGTGGCTTGTTGCAGGTGCTGGATCCCTTTCACAGGCGATTCATTCCACCCGTGCCCCAGATCCCCTTCCGAACTTTCTCGGGCGACCGTCAGTACGTCGTCGGTTTGGACAAAAGCAGCGGCAAGCTGGTGGTTCAGCGCCGTGGAGACTCTCAGACTATCATGTAAGGCCACGATGTGCATAGATGTTTTTGGTGGTGTAGTCATTCCGTGCTTAATAAACACGGTGTTTGGCGAGTGCCGAGCATGCTGTAATCGCTCCCCTGCAAATTCCATTCAGGCATTAGCTGAGAAGAGTTCTCAAAAAGAAATCAGAAAGAGAGGTGATTAAAATAGGCCCCACTCCACGTTTCTTGAGGGAACACTGCCATCCCCAGAATTTTTTTTTTTGCCTAATACACTACAGTACACTAATACACTACACCGGGCTGATGAATAATTTTAATAATAAAAAAAAATGCTCAGCTTCTCGAAATGGAGACGATTACACGAGCACGGAAGCTTATGGCCGGAAGTCACGTGGCTAAAAACGCCGTAATACCAGATGTCATTTTTTTTTAAATTCTCCGCATTTTTGGCATGTGAAGAAGACTAAAAGGTTGCGTGTACGGTGTGTAGTGTGATTGTTTCGCACTAACATCCTTCCCACTCGGTGTTCTGCGCTTAAGGATCGATTTTCTGGTACCACGAATGACATTTCCTAACTAGCGTCTCCCACGTTGGCCCGTCCTGTGCCGGCACTCGCTCGTCCAGCCTGCGACACGTCGGCATATTGTGAATGACGTGTAAATATACTTCCTGAGACTTTTCAATTTTTTTTTCAATAGCTTATTTGGAGTTTTTGGGGGTCACAAAAAAAAGGGCTCAACTTTGTTTTTTTTAATATTACATTTGTTTTATAAGAGCCACCACTTTAAATGTACTTAGTGCACATAGTTTGAACGCGACGCTACCATAGAAGAGAGGGTGAGCGCGACTGAAACCAGCCGATTCTCGACCGGCTGTTTACGGGCGGAAGGATAACAAAT